TTTAGGGGGGTTTGGGGAGGTTTTGGGGAGGTTTTGGGGGTTTGGGGCTCACCTGAAGCCCGGCAGGCTCCGCGGCGCTGCCGTGTAGTGCGTCAGGAAGAGCCGCAGGTCCCCCGGGCTCCACTTGTCGGAGCGGCAGGGCTCGATCACCTGCGGGGACCCCGAAACGCACCCGGATTTTGGGGGGAGGGCTCAGTTTAGGGGGGGGGTCCCAATCAGGGATTTTCTGGGATTTTTGGGGTCCCCCCTCACCTTCTCCACCAGGTCCACGAAGAAATCCCGAACGTCGCGGGCGTGCGTCAGCTTCCCCCCCACGTTCACCAGCGCCCGGGACAGCGCCTGGGCATGGGGGGCGTTGGGGACCCCCGAGCCGGGACCCCCAAACCGGGACCCCCAAACCGGGGTCCCCCCCCCGACCCCCAAACCGGGGTCCCTCCCCCAAACCGGGTCCCTCCCCTGACCCCCCCCGAGACCCCTCCCAAGGGGGGAGCCGGCACTTTGGGGGGGAATTGGGATTTTGGGGAGCCCCCAGAACCAGAAGCCTCCCTCGAGGACCCCCTGAGCCCCCCCTGGACCTCGGGGGGCTCTCGGGAGTTTGGGGGTCCCCCCAGCCCTAAATTCCCCCCCCCACAGAGGACCCCAATGCTGGGAACCCCCCCACAACCTCCCCCCCTGGGGCTCCTCCAGGATTTTGGGGAGCCCCGGGATTTCGGGGGAGGCCCCTCCCCCACCCAAGGACACCCCGATTTTGGGGGGGTTCACCTTGAAATTGGCCTCGAGCTCGTTGTAGACCGAGATCTTCCCTCGCAGGGCCGAGCACACCAGGCTGGGGGGAGGGGGCGGTTGGGGAGACCCCCGAAACCAGGACCCCCCCAAAAAGGGCAGGGTCAGGCAGCCCCTCCCCCCAGCCCAGAGTTTGGGGGTGCCAGGGTTTGGGGGGGCAGATTCGGGGCAGGGGAAGTTTGGGGTGAGGAAGTTTTGGGTTTGGGGTGATGAGATTTGGGGGTACCCCCGGTTTTGGGGGGGCTCCGGGGGTCTGGGGGTGCTCGGGGGGTCCGGGGTGTCTCCATGGGTGGCACCTCTTGTGCTGGTCCAGCAGGTCCTTGTCGGTCACCAGCACCTTGAGCTCCTTCAGGTCCTGCAGGAACGACTTGGGCAGGTCCCCGTCCGGATCGGCCGCCTCGGGAGCTGGCAGGGGACACAGGGGACACAGGGGACACAGGGGACACACAGGGACACACAGGGACACACAGGGACACACAGGGACACACAGGGACACACAGGGACACACAGGGACACACAGGGACACACAGGGACACACAGGGACACACAGGGACACACAGGGACACACAGGGACACACAGGGACACACAGGGACACACAGGGACACACAGGGACACACAGGGACACACAGGGACACACAGGGACACACAGGGACACACAGGGACACACAGGGACACACAGGGACACACAGGGACACACAGGGACACACAGGGACACACAGGGACACACAGGGACACACAGGGACACACAGGGACACACAGGGACACACAGGGACACACAGGGACACACAGGGACACACAGGGACACACAGGGACACACAGGGACACACAGGGACACACAGGGACACACAGGGACACACAGGGACACACAGGGACACACAGGGACACACAGGGACACACAGGGACACACAGGGACACACAGGGACACACAGGGACACACAGGGACACACAGGGACACACAGGGACACACAGGGACACACAGGGACACACAGGGACACACAGGGACACACAGGGACACACAGGGACACACAGGGACACACAGGGACACACAGGGACACACAGGGACACACAGGGACACACAGGGACACACAGGGACACACAGGGACACACAGGGACACACAGGGACACACAGGGACACACAGGGACACACAGGGACACACAGGGACACACAGGGACACACAGGGACACACAGGGACACACAGGGACACACAGGGACACACAGGGACACACAGGGACACACAGGGACACACAGGGACACACAGGGACACACAGGGACACACAGGGACACACAGGGACACACAGGGACACACAGGGACACACAGGGACACACAGGGACACACAGGGACACACAGGGACACACAGGGACACACAGGGACACACAGGGACACACAGGGACACACAGGGACACACAGGGACACACAGGGACACACAGGGACACACAGGGACACACAGGGACACACAGGGACACACAGGGACACACAGGGACACACAGGGACACACAGGGACACACAGGGACACACAGGGACACACAGGGGACACACAGGGGACACACAGGGACAGGGACAGGGACACAGGGACAGGGACAGGGGACAGGGGATGGAGACAGGGACAGGGGGTGATGTGGGGGGTCAGGGGGGACACCACAGGTTTGTCACAGTCCCAGGGACATTGGGGACATCTTGGGGTCATGGAGACACTGGGGGTCACCAGGGTCCCCAAAGAGGGACACCCCAGGGTCACCGGGGTCAGGACATGGCCAGGACATCCCTGCTGTCCCCAAGGGTCCCTAAATGTCCCCAGGGGTCCCTGAGTGTCCCCAGGGGTCCCTGAGTGTCCCCAGAGGTCCCTGCTGTCCCTGAGTGTCCCTGAGTGTCCCCAGGGGTCCCTGAGTGTCCCCAGAGGTCCCTGCTGTCCCTGAGTGTCCCTGAGTGTCCCCAGGGGTCCCTGAGTGTCCCTGAGTGTCCCTGCTGTCCCCACGGCCCCCCCCTGCCCAGAGCCCCCCAGCTCGGGGGTGTCCCCCGCCTGTCCCCAGCCCCGGTGTCCCCAGCCCCGTGTGTCCCGTGTGTCCCGTGTGTCCCGTGTGTCCCGTGTGTCCCGTGTGTCCCGTGTGTCCCGTGTGTCCCGTGTGTCCCGTGTGTCCCGTGTGTCCCGTGTGTCCCGTGTGTCCCGTGTGTCCCGTGTGTCCCGTGTGTCCCGTGTGTCCCGTGTGTCCCGTGTGTCCCGTGTGTCCCGTGTGTCCCGTGTGTCCCGTGTGTCCCGTGTGTCCCGTGTGTCCCGTGTGTCCCGTGTGTCCCGTGTGTCCCGTGTGTCCCGTGTGTCCCGTGTGTCCCGTGTGTCCCGTGTGTCCCGTGTGTCCCGTGTGTCCCGTGTGTCCCGTGTGTCCCGGGGGTCTCACCCAGGGCCCCCTGGCTCCAGTGCCCCATCATGCTCTGGGCGCAGGCGGCGAAGTCGGCGAAGCTCAGGAACTGCAGGCGCCGCTTGCCCGTCTCGAAGCGGCTGTTGGCAAAGAACACGATGGCGGCGTAGTCCCTGGGGGGACAGGGGGGTCAGGGGGGCCCGACCGCCGGGGGAACCCCTGAACATCCCCCAAAACACCTGAACATCCCCCCAAAACCCCTGAACATCCCCCAAAACACCTGAACATCCCCCCCAAAACACCTGAACATCCCCCAAAACCCCTGAACATCCCCTGAACATCCCCCCCAAAACACCTGAACATCCCCCCAAAACACCTGAACATCCCCCAAAAC